CCTCAATTCGTATCATAAAGTAAGTCGTTCCTGTATTCTTCAACTTGTTGTACGCAGTACTTTCGTGGTGTAATGCGTATCTTTGATTGCTAATGCATAATTGTACGCTCTATTTTAATTTTCAATGCGTATTTTGTAAAATTTAATGCGTATTTCTGCAAATACGCACCTTATCTGGAGCTCTGCATAGAAATATATGGGAAAACTCTTTAAAAATGTTCTTCTCAAGAATAGCAAAGCCATATTCATCAATTAAATCAATATGTGTTTATCAAATTAATTCGAAATTCCTTCGAATACAAGTACTTTGTGCAATTCTTGCCCAACAGTTTAATTTTAAATGATGGAGAACCCTGCATTATTTCTTTGAAAATTTCATGGCTCCAGGGTCAGGAGTTCTGGTGTTAGTGTGGGGCTTAATTGATATTCTTGTGAAATGCATTCTTTGTAAATCTTTTCTGCTCCTGGCTATTAACGTAATGAATTAATTATTAGGGCCCCGCAAGGATTTGCGGGTGCCCTATAGTAATCACTCTGTCCGTCCGTCTGTCTGTCTGTCTGTCTGTCTGTCCGTCTGTCACTCTTCCGTCCACAAATTTCCTGTTTTTTTCTAATAACTTTTTTTATGGTTGCCCAATCTAGTTCAAATTTGGTATGGTAGTTCAGTAGGCAGAAATACATATTTTGATGCTAAGTTTGGTTCTCTATGTCTTCTGGTTTGGAGCTGGGGTGGTGGGGTAGATTCCTTAGCTATGCATAAGAATGAATGGGCAACTTTTTTAATGGTTGCCCAATCAAGTTCAAATTTGATATGGTAGTTCAGTAGGCAGAAATACATATTTTGATGCTAAGTTTGGTTCTCTATGTCTTCTGGTTTGGAGCTGGGGTGGTGGGGTAGATTCCTTAACTTTGCATAAGAATGAATGGGCAAAGAGAGATAACTGCTTAGAATGTTACCATTGTAAACTGGGAAGGCTGTGCAATTTTTCCTTTGGGATTAATTAACCTTCCACATGAAGAAAATCCTAAGCATTATCTTTATCAGTCACATTGACATTAATAGCTGTACCGACTCTGTCTGCAAATGAACTTTGTTTTGAAGTTAAGGTCAATTTTGAATGATGTGTACATTCTCTGAAATATGGATTTAAAATATTAAAATGTTCATACCTTATTTTGGTTAAAATACTGTACACAATGATTTATTATTTTATTGAATTCTAAAATCAAGATATATATTAAGATATCATTTTTTATTAGTACTATTTTATTTTTGGAATTATCTTTTTATTTATATATATATATATATATATTTTGCTGCCTTAATGCTTTTAATTTTAACAATAATCAGATAATAACCCCATTATGTCAGTGCAGAAAAAATTAATCATTGTAAATTTAGAAGAAAAGGATGAGAGAGCAGTACAATTAATCCCTTGGGATTAATTATCTAGCCTGCTGCAGAAAATTTAGAGGCTTATCTTTATCTGTCAAATGAGATTAATGTACACCTTTGTCTGCAACCGATGTTTGTTTTGAAGTTAAGGTCAAGTCTGGTCAACCCTGGGTGATATTTGCATTCACTGAAGGCTTGCATTTTATAAAACACCTGCTTAAATCTTTTTTAAGTTCACATTTAATTTAGTTTTTTTTTATAAGACATGTGGTTTTCCCTGTTTTATGGAAAAACAAGTGTTGTTACTATTTACAGGTTTTTTGGACATTATGGAATTATCTTGAAAATTTAAAAATACAGTTGTTAGTTATTATCTTAATTTATATATATTTTTAGCTCACCTGAGCCGAAGGCTCAAGTGAGCTTTTCTGATCACATTTTGTCCGTCGTCCGTCCGTCTGTCTGTCTGTCCGTCTGTCTGTCTAGCTGTCCGTCTGTCTGTCCGTCTGTAAACTTTTCACATTTTCGACTTCTTCTCAAGAACTACTGGGCCAATTTTGACCAAACTTGGTACAAAGCATTCTTTAGTGAAGGGGAATTTAAATTGTTAAAATGAAGGGACATATCCCCTCGCAAGGGGAGATAATCAAGAAAAGACAAAAATAGGGTTGGGTCATTAAAAAATCTTCTTCTCAAGAACCACTGGGCCAGTAAAGCTGAAACTTATGTTGAAGCATCCTGGGGAAGTGTAGATTCTAAATTGTTCAAATCATGACCCCCGGGGGAAGGGCGGGGCCACAATGGGGAATCAAAGTTTTATATAGAAATATATAGGGAAAATCTTTGAAAATCTTCCTCTCAAGAACCACTGGACCAGAAAAGCTGAAACTTATGTGGAAGCATCCTGGTGTAGTGTAGATTCTAAATTCTTCAAATAATGACCCCCGGGGGAAGGGCGGGGCCACAATGGGGAATCAAAGTTTTATATAGAAATATATATAGGAAAATTCTTTGAAAATCTTCTTCTCAAGAACCACTGGGCCAGAAAAGCTGAAACTTATGTGGAAGGATCCTAGTGTAGTGTAGATTCTAAATTGTTCAAATCATGACCCCCGGGGGAAGGGCAGGGCCACAATGGGGAATCAAAGTTTTACATAGAAATATATAGGAAAAATCTTTGAAAGTCTTCTTCTCAAGAACCACTGGACCAGAAAAGCTGAAACTTATGTGGAAGCATCCTGGTGTAGTGTAGATTCTAAATTGTTCAAATAATGACCCCCGGGGGAAGGGCAGGGCCACAATGGGGAATCAAAAGTTTTATATAGAAATATATAGGAAAAATCTTTGAAAATCTTCTTCTCAAGAACCACTGGGCCAGAAAAGCTGAAACTTATGTGGAAGCATCCTGGTATAATGTAGATTCTAAATTGTTCAAATAATGACCCCCGGGGGAAGGGCGGGGCCACAATGGGGAATCAAAGTTTTATATAGAAATATATAGGAAAAATCTTTGAAAATCTTCTTCTCATGAACCACTGGGCCAGAAAAGCTGAAACTTATGTGGAAGCATCCTGGTATATTGTAGATTCTAAATTGTTCAAATAATGACCCCCGGGGGAAGGGCGGGGCCACAATGGGGAATCAAAGTTTTACATAGAAATATATAGGAAAAATCTTTGAAAATCTTCTTCTCAAGAACCACTGGGCCAGAAAAGCTGAAACTTATGCGGAAGCATCCAGGTATAATGTAGATTCTAAATTGTACAAATAATGACCCCCGGGGAAAGGGCGGGGCCACAATGGGGAATCAAAGTTTTATATAGAAATATATAGGAAAAATCTTTTAAAATCTTCTTCTTGGGAACCACTGGGCCAAAAAAGCTGAAACATTATGTGCCCATGGAAGGATCATGGGGTAGTGTAGATTTCAAAATGTCTAAATTATGATCAGTGGGGTAGGGTGGGTATGCATTATGTATAACAAGGGGAAAATCTGGTAAAGAACAGAATGGTCAAAGCTTCTCAAGTGAGCGATGTGGCCCATGGGCCTCTTGTTAAAAATGTAATCAAGGAAAACTCTCATTCATTGAGCTGCACCTTTATATTTCTACCCCTTAGCGGGGCCCTTGCTGACTGGTCAGTTTTCTAGTATAGTTATGATGACGAAAAGTGCTTCTCCCAAATTTGTGAATTTCATTGCCCCTTGGTAAGGTGTTTTGGTGTTAGGGTGGGGCTCCAATGATTATATAAATGTAGTGAAAATGCATGAATTCTTTGAAAAATTTCTCTTCTGCTCCTGGGTATTAAGCTGATTAACTAAGTTTATAGTAATAAGAAGGAAAAGTGTCTATTTTTCCAAAATTATGAATTTCATGGGCCCCTGGGTTAAGGGTTCCATGGAGGGTGGGGTGGGGCTTATGCCCCTCTTTGTAAAATGGAGGGTATATTGCTTTGCTGCTGTCTGTTGATTAGTCTGTCTGTCGATCCATCATTTGTTTCCTTCCTTTTTTCGCAGTTGTTACACACATTGAAATAAAATTTTATATACAAATTGATCATAAGAATTTCTAGGTCAGGTTCTGTTTGGGATACAAATGAGCAATTTTGGATTGAGTTATGCACCTTGGACTTAGAAAAATTCCAATTATTTGGGGGAGAAGGAGCATAAGTGTTTTACAAACATCTCTTGTTTATTATTTACTGAAAAAAAAGATTTTTAAATGTTCTACTCTGCTCCTGGGTATTATGCAGATGCAGCAAATACATATTTATGATAGAGAAAAGTTTCTCTTCCCAAATTGTGAATTTCATGGTCTCTGGGTCAAGGGTTCCATGTGTGTTTGTGCGGGGAAGAGGGGGGGGGGCTATTTATTATTTTCTGAATAAAAATTAAATGCTATTGAAATATTTTTTTCCACTGCTCCTTGGTATATGTATTATTTAAACAAACTCAATACATACATTAATTTATAATGAGACTCCTGAAGGGCTCCTGAACTTGCAATTATTTGATTAATTAGCAAAAATGCGTAAAACCTTTGAAAATTCCTCCTCTGCCCTTGAGTTTTAAGCAAACAAACTAAATAATGTTAAATGCAACTATCTTTATAAATATTAAGAAACAAAATGAAAATAAGAGTTTTGTTTAAATGAGCAAAACATGTTCAAAGTCAGATTCTTCCCTGGAAAGCATTGTAAAAGATTGACCTAATGATTATTTCTATGATTAAAAAAAAATTGTACTTGTATGAATGATATGTATCATGTTTTGCAATGGGGTGTTAGAGTCACTAGTAAAAGATTTCTGAATGACAAAAGATTAGATACACTTGTTTTATACTTTATCAAAGTGAGCAGAGAGCAAGTGTGTCTTATTGTCATCAGTGACAAGTGGCCAAAAGCCACGTTGTATACCAAAGTCTGCGTGTTCTGAATTGCAGCACCGGGCAATGACAAAACGTATTTGTAAAAATTGAATACCTTACACACAATAGACAAGTGTCAATTTTATATTGTGCATTCGTTTCCATCCTTGCAAGATTTCGGAAAAACCAGTATAATGCAAAGGAATTTTTACTATATATATCAATTTCTTCTTTTACAGTGGCTGATGATGACTCACCGTTAAAGACATTTATCAGGATAAACGCTGCAGATTTGAAACCAGACCCGGGCAGTGCAACTGACATCTCCGACACAAATGAACAAGAAGACAATTTGGAGCAAGGAAGTACTGATAAAAACTCTGAAGTAGTTTATAGCCGAGAAGAAAAGAAAGAAGAGAACATTGAGAGGTCCATTTCTCCAACTGAAGGCAAAGACGAACAGAATACAGTTGAGACAATGGCCAGTGTTCTCTCCTCAGAAGCACAAGAAATGTTGAAGGATGAAATTTTCCAAAAAATCTTGTCTGAAAAAGAAAAATTCCCAACTGTAAGCTTGCTGGATTTTGCTGGGCAGTTAGCATATTATGCTTGTCACCAAATTTACGTAACACCAAAGGCCTTCTTTATTCTTGTGCTGGACATGACTAAGAGGTTTGAAGATGTTGTGGATAAAGAGAAGGATAACCAAGAAGGATCAATCTTTTCCGTTTGGACTTACAGAGGTAAGACACATAAAATGTAAGATGTTTTAAGGTAGTTACCGGTATTAAGTTTACGCATCCATTTATAGTTTTGTTCATCGACAATACACATTCATTTATCATTTTGTTTAGTAGCATGTTTCATTGAAATTGGTCTAGTGGTTCTTGAGTAGAAGATGAAATTGTGAAAACTATTACAACAACAACAATGACAGAACACGGACAATTTTTTTATCAGAAAAATTGACCTTGACCCTAGAAGATTCTCACACGTTCAAGGTCACTAGCAGAAAATGTTTAAGTCCTTGTCCAGGCCATATCTTTGTAATGAAGAATAACTGGGAGCTCATACTTGATACAAACTTTAATTTGCTTGTCATGATCTGCGGGTGTGTTCTGACCTTGAAAATGGTCTTTTTCAGCGAGTTTAAGGTCACCAGCAAAAAACGGTTTATTATGCTTTTCCAGGTTAAAACTTTGTAATGAAATTTCATTGGAAGATCATTCTTGATACACAGACTATTAACTATCCATGGATGTTCATGTGCTTGATCCAAGGTTAATAAAACAAATTCAAGATCACTGGTAAAAAAAATTTAAGATTCACAAGAGGTCTATGATTTTCTAAAGGATAAATTTTTCATTTCTGTATTTTACCTACAGAGTACCAGACTGTGTCCGTTTTAGCAAAGGTTTTTTTTATTTCAAGGTCAATTATTCAAAATTTAAATAGAAACTTTTAAAAAGATTGTATGGGGATAATTTTTTGTGAACTTGCAAACATTACCTTAAGTTCAAAATTGATTTTTATATCTATGTAAACCTTTGACCTCTTTCTGTGGTCTCATTACCTGGGCCATTATTTACATAATTTGAATCTCAGAACGTATTCCTACGCGAAATCATAAATGGTGGCAAGTTTCATGTACTGTTATGTTTTATTTTAAAAATAACAACCAATGAAATTTTTCTGTCTGATATTAAAATTAATCAGTTAATGCTAAATTGGGTTCAACAATCAGATGGGGTTATTTTGTGTGAGATGATGATCCCATTGGGTAATCATTTGTGATGGGTATCATTTCATGTCAGTTGTGGTGGGTATAGGTTCATTTCTTTGGATGTGACCCATAAACTGTCCGTCAGTAGCCAGAAACGCGGCTAGGTTAAGGACTCCCAAATGCAAAGGTATATCAGTCTATGCAGATCTTTCGGCAAACGATTATGACATCATGGTGAAACCGTACAAATGATATTCTTTTTCTTACACTCTTGTATACTGTGATTTCTCATAATTATTGAAAACATAAATTGCTGTTTAATTTATCTTGTCATTATAACTCTATTTAAATGTAAAATCAAAGCCAACTTGATCTCGCTATACTTACAGTGATGACATCATAGACTAGTTTGACATGCAGTTTCTCTGTACTTGAGACGCAGATTCGGCTATTATTGCAATTTGTAAAAATGAAAAGACAAATTAAGCGTGATCTGACTAAAATTGAGTCATATTTTGAATACATTACTCAATTTTTCACAGTAATTGAATTTATAATGAATAGGTCTTTTATAAAGCCGCAGTCATGCACTTAAACATACTACAATCACAGGCACAACCCCTCGAAAATCTCAAGAGACCATATCCGCTTAACTATAAATTATGATATTTTATACATATGTAGCTACATGTGTATAAGATATCATAATTTATTATTAACCCTACCATTTTCAAAAGTGCTTGGAGTAAGTTGTGCACTGTTGGTTTTTTAGACGGTGGCTATATATAGCCACAGGCTATTGCTGCTGGTCAGTGTAAACACACGGGGACCCTAGCGGCCATTTTTGCAGAGTCAAAATAATGAAAGTAGACTTATTTCGAAGTTTGAAAATAAAATGTACATAGTTAACAAATACTTTGAAGTTATTTTAAAGACATTTCTTTAATGGATACAAAGCCTAATTCCTGATAATTGCCGTTATCAATATTTCTCGCCTCATGAATATTCATTGAATTACGCCGAACTAAACTAACTCGTACACCAACCGACTCGTATATTAGTATATGCAAACTACAAATGTCAACTCGTACACAATTTTTTCGTTTTTTCTCACATGTTCGAAAAATCAGTTCGTATGCACATTGTGTTTCTTTAAAATTACCGAATATTTGTTCAAAAATATTTGAAGATAATTGTTTCACTATCTAACTCTGATATCAAATGCTAGGCCCTAGTTATAAATAATTGATAAACATCACACGGCTGTTTCTTAAATACTGCTTTGTGGATTTTTTTTTTTTTACAATAAAACTTAAATAGTTTATTGTAATTTAACAAAGTCTTTCGATTTTTCTTGTATCTGTTTACAGTGCTGTATTAGTAAAACGAATATATGTATTTTAGTAAAGAAGAAAAAAGATCACTACATCTTAAAATCAGTTCATAAAACGATTGTTGGAGATATATGATGCCATAAAATTTGCTAAGTTTATTACCATTCTAGTTTTTTGAAAATAAGACTTTGTCTGATTATCTCGGACACAAAAACGACTTAAAGGATAATAATTTGTCAAATTTATAATTACAAAGACTATAATGGACACAATTTACCCATATATTTTATTCCTATAATTAGAAACTCTAACGTGCCTCTAATAAATATACCCTTTAGTGGGTGTACGAAAAAGGAAATCAAATACATGTGCATGAATTAATATTAGTATTAGGATTTTTATGTGATTTTAGTGGGCTGAATTTCGGTCAGTCTTCTAGTGTGTTTACAAAGCAGTAAATATGTACTGGGACTTGCAGGGTCATTGCATATTAGAACATTACGTATGAGAAATAACATAATCGCAAACCACGGCCAAAATGTTTACGATATTCCATTCTGGAGAAAGCTCCATACTCATATATACATACTCTGATCGTGACTTGAGACGACGGAAAATAGAGACAGAAAAATATTTTGTTACTCTGTTTTTTCTCTCTTTTTTAGAGCAGTATACGAGGGTTGTCATGTACAAAGCGTTTTTCTGGAAAAATAGTGGGCGCTGCAAGATGAAATTTTTAGCACGTATTTATTTATCATATTTTAATGTATCTGAATTCTTTTGATAAAATTTAGACAAAAATTAATACTTTATTAACATGCTTTAATGTTACACACGATAAAAAACCCTGGTTATAAAAATAATACATGGGTATTGTTTCAAAATAAATGTTTTAAATAGATTTTGGTCTGGAAAGCAGTTCAGTTTTTTCCTCTTTAGTGTACTAGAGAAATGGGAGTTTTCTAAGCGAAATCGTTTTAATCAAATCCAAGGGTAGAACAAACAGCTACAGGAATAGCGAAAGGCGCTGACAATGTTGATAGCCAATATATATAAGATTATTTACAGTACAGCTCACGAGTTTCTTCCGGATTCCACCGGCCACGGTGGACCTATGTTCCACGCTTTTCCGTGGAACTTTAGAAACGTCGGCGTCTTTGAAGTTCGGTCTCCGATCCACGGTGTGACACGGTGCGTACACGGTGTCACACGGTGCCTAAAAATTGCAATAATGTTCCTCCACGGTGCGGCACGGTGTGACACGGTGCCTAGAAAGTGCGGCAATGTTCGTCCACGGTGCGACACGGAGTTAATCCACGGTGCGAGTCGGTGTTTCAGCACGGTGTTAAACGGTGCATTTCTTCCAATTCTTCCAATTCTACTTAAAATGTTGTATAATTCTTTAATTTTTCAAACAAATCACTCAAAGCAGGTCCATACATATATAAAATCAAAGTAATATTTCATGTTAAATGCACGTTTTGGAAGACATGTTCTAAGAAAGTATGTTGTTTTAATTTATTAAGATAGTATAGTAATGGATAATACATTATTTTAATGTGTTTATACTTCTATTTGCTATTTATTCTTATTCTATAATAATGTCGAAAGAATTCCATCGTCTTAATACGTCGGTAGCGTATAACCACTTAGGCCTGTACCCTGTATTAGTTACACCCGTAGGCGATTGAACACAAGATGAAACACCTGTATACATGCACATGTGCCTGGTCCTGACGTAACCCATATATTATTGTTGAGCCCCCCCCCCCCCCCCCATTTTCACTATTACATGTACATCCCTCCTTGATTTTTTTTATTAAATATTATAAATTTGCATGGCTCAGTTCTTTTAAAATTCCTGTGACACACATTCACTGCGATTTCTATTACATGTACCTGTTACATATATATATATACAATGTATATAATAACAAAAATTCTCTAATTATGTAACAAAAACAGACGAAAAATAATTCATTTTAAAATTACTTGTGGGGTTATTAAAAAGACAGTATGAAACATAAAGCCCCCTTTTATAAATCTCTCACTATCTCTCTCTCTCTCTTTCTATCTCTCTCGGATACCAGTGGCGGATTCAGAGGGGGGTACACCAACACGCACACACCACCCTTGGATTTGCAAAAAAAGAAACAGAAAGAAGGAAGTCCCAATTTTTTGTTGTGTTTTTACTATAGAAATATAGATATGTTAACTGAAAGTCTAATTTTGTAATATATAAAGAAATTTGGTTGCGAAAACAAAATGAAACCCTACCCCCTTTACAAAATAGGATTTTCGGGTTCGGAGATATATTTTCCTTTCTTTTTCAAAAACTTTCAGGTAATCCATACAAATACTTTTCCGAGGTTGATCAACCTCCCACGTTTAAAAACCATACTTCATCCTATATCCCATGGAGTTGTTTAATTACATGTATAATTATGTAAAACGTACATTATAATTACAACTCTTTTCCCTTCAATCCCCTGTTTGAAAAAAATTTCACCCCCCCCCTTTTCAAAAATTTATCGAATTTCAACAATGTGTGTGTTACTACTGCTTCGTACACGTACTCATTTATACGAGGTTAAAATGTTCCTTTTGAGAAAGCATTAATTCGTAATTTACATGACCGTACACATGTTTTGAAAATACATTTTGTCAATCAATGATTGACATATTTAAACTAAACTTCAGAAAGTGTTAGGTAAATAAGGTATGATTGATTAAAAAAATAATTAATTTTTCATCAAGAGAGACGGTTAATATCTTAAATTTGCGCATTTTCCATGTCCTATCATTTACCGAAATCAAAGTCTATCAACTTCTTTAAAGTGATTATTACTCGGCAAATCATTGGTTAAGATAAGGATTATTGCGGTTATAAACACTGAAAAACTAAAATAAATGTAAAATATGGAAATAAATATTAAATGCGGCAAAATCTACTGAACAGGCAGAGATGATAATCCGATAAATTTTATTAATTTAGGTAGTGATCAACTTACACGCTGAATACAAAAATCACCAGCAGAATTTTGATTTCCTCAGTACAAATATAACCTTATTCAGAAATGTATGTCGTATGAAAAATGAAAAGAAAAAAATACAGTTTGCGGCGAAAACATAGATATTTAGCGATTTTAGAAATGGTTTTATCCCCCCACCTACCCCTTCTAAAAAGTGATACGAATCGGCTAATTAAAACTTTATCAGAAGTCAGCAAATTTAATTAATTTTTTAAAAATCTTAATACATGCTTATTTGTGTCTGAAAAAGGATTAAAAAAAATTAACATAGTACATGTAAGTTTATATTCATTCTTGTAGTGAAACCTGGAAGATGAATTTCGTTTGCTATCAGTTGAGTGTGTTACATGTATACACTTGCTGTGATCAGAACTAAAGAATGTGAAAGGTGTGATAAACATACGGCCCCCCTGGCCCACCGGCAGGGACCCAATATATTTTTAAAACAGGTGTGAACTCGGAACTGACCATGAGAATGTTTCAAATCACGAGAGAAATTCTTTCCGCGTAAACAGACTTTCAAGGTCACCTAGCGTCATGCGATTTTGATTGACAGGTGAATGAGTTGATGCACAAGAATCTCGTGCGTACAGCATATACATGATTCATTGCATTAAATGGGTTTAATATGAACCAAAGTTGTGGAGATTAATTAGAATTATAGAATGATTAATTTTGACCTCCGTAACCTAAATAAAACAAAGAATTAAAAAATAATAACAGACTATGTCAGAGGGAGTTCTCTCTCTCTCTCTCTCTCTCTCATTGCTTTTTACACACTTGACAAGAAAAGAAAAACTGATTAAAATTTAAAAAATTTGAAATAATTACTTGCAATAAAATAAAGTAGTAAACTTTAGTCTATGAAAATAATGTTTGCTGTTACGAGAAATACATTAACTATGGAAATTACTGCATTTCTGAACAGGTATGAAATATATTGACCAAGAAGTGACTCTGTACACTAATTATCAAGAGGATTTGAAATTCATCGATATCCGGTAAATTTGTTTTCCAGAAAAAAAATTAGAGGTACAAATATTATGTATATGAGAATGTGAAAAAAAACCCCGGATAGATGAACTCGAAAGTAAAATCTCTCTCTCTCTCTCTCTCTCTCTCTGAACATTCTAAAATGTAGAACTGAATTAAAATCAGTTTAATTATTATGAAAAAAGTAAATTATATATGATTTGTAGAGGAATATTTAGAATGCTGCTTTAGCAGTTCAAGCAATTTTTTTTTCTTTTAAAAAAACAGTTTTCGTACTAGTTGCAGACGATTTATAAACAAGAAAAAGAATACCCGATACTCAGGTAGAAATACTTCCACATATTCGAAAGAAATTGAATTTTTCTATGTCTCAAAATGTCAGGTTAAATCAATGGATACATACAACTGCCAGATTTTTTTTTGTGAATGTATACAACTAGTCAACTACCAAAGTACGTATAAGAAATTATCGTGAATACTACCTGCCAAGGGTTTATTTTTCTTGCATGCATTTTTTCTTCCTCGCATGTAGCAACTTACTAGTATCTTCATTGATATGTGGTCTATCTATTTATACTATAATTATGTCTACAAAATAAGGGTATATTCATAATCTGACGTATGTATACTGACTCGACTTTTTTTTATTTCACTATTTTTATTTACGAAGTAGGAATCAGATAATGTTGAATTAGCTGTCTGATATATTAAATATTTGTGAATATCCATTTATAATAGTTATTTTACAGAGAAAATAATCGCTAAAATTATCGACCCGTGTCTATGTTTCGCACTGAATAAGTTAAACGGCAATGTACTCTCTTGTACTTGGATTTGTACATGCGGATTTATCGCTTATATCAGAAACATAATAATTTGCACAATATATATATAATTGTTCTTTTTTTTTAAATAAATATAAAATATGAATTCAACAGAAATAAAATTTAAATTTATTCAATATACTTGGCAATCATACCGTCAATGGCGAACCAAAGTTTACACCTAGAAGCTGTTATATTATGAACTCACATGTTTGTTAACGAGCTGTTTGTATCAAGTCAATCTTCATTTTTGATTTTTTTTTCTAGCTATCAAATAATTATTATTTATAATTTCAAAATTCTATAACTGAAATGATTTTTATAAACAAACTATTTACTTCCGTTATTTTCTCACACGGTGGAACACGGACGGTCCCCGAAGAAAATGGTGATGTCCACGGTGTTACACGGTGCGTCTCTGGAATGATCGCAATATACACACACCGTGGAACACGGTGTACACGGTGTAACACGGAGTATTTTACACCGTGTATTTTCCACCGTGGGGTGGAAAAAACTCGTGAGCTGTACTGTAGTTGAATAATAGTAAAAATATTATCCGTAACTTTAGTACTAATAAATCTTCACAATGTCCCATTTGTGCGCGAGATTGGTTTCTGGCTGTTATTTGAAGAATTAAGGCAAACTCAACTATGTGCATCAATGAAATTTCTTTAATTTAAGTGGGAATTATCCAACTTGTTTTTAGCAAAGAGGAAACTTGACGCTGCTTTAGACACTTTGACATTATCACCCATGTGCCGTATGGCGACATAACACATTAAATGAAATCTTATAATTTGCAATTGTTTATCTATAAATGCATATACCTATTTGAAGTTTGCTATGTTTTTTGATGAAAAATGTACTTAAGGTACTAAGGTAGTAAACATTTAAGGTCACAGTGAGAATTCATAACACTTTACTTTTTAGTACAAAAATATGAATTTATATATTAAAATACAGGTAGATATATTGTGAAAAATCGAAATAAACATTTATAATTCCCAATTCATTTTACAAAATCTTAAAACATTTTATCTTATTTACTGCTTGTCGCCATTTGACGTTACAGTAGCGGGTTTGCTTTTGACTCACGGACTTGAAGAAGTCAATCCTTACGTCGCGGATTTGACTCCCACTGCGTGACATGGATATGGGCCCTTAATTCAGATTAAGATCCCGTGTCGCAGTAATTGCTAGCCAGAAAAATCCATCGCTGCTAAAAATTTTAATCTTAAGTGGACGTTAAATAAACAAACTAATTCATGCCACCGTCTTTCAGTACTCACAGTACTTTGATTCTTAATTTTACATTATTTTAATGCGTTTAATGTAAATTTACGAAGTTTTACAAAAGATAGCTAAATTTAAAATAATTCCCGGGCATGGGGAAGTTGCTCCCAGCACTTTTCAGGTTAAGGAATTTGTCTTAATGGAAACGCAATCAATTTCACAGTGAAAAATCACTTTTGCCGAACTCGGTTGAGACCCCATATATGCATATGTTTTTAGTACAATTCCCATTAAATGGAAACTCATGCAAAGAGAAAAGATATCAACATTATATTGATTTTCTTTATTTTAAGGCATATTTCCTATGAGCTGCCTTAACCTAGCTGCGAATAATGATTCTGTTCTCAGAGGGTATAACCATTGAAATGGACTTAACTTGTCTTCATTTGCTATTTGTCTTTAGAAGTACACTGCACTTTGATACATTTTTTTTCAACAAAAGAGTTGTCATGTCAAACGGAAGGAAGAAGATATGTAAATTTTTATTTTTCAAAATTTAATTAAATATTGCTCATTTCATAGTTCATATTCTTTTTAATAATTACTGATGGGTTTACAAAATATGAAGTCATATTCATGTAATTCTGCTAGACTATTGTAAAACCAAAAATAAAAGTATTGATTGAAGGTCTTTTACTTTCCATGTTTTTAATATAAAGCAGTAGAGATACACACTTACCAGAGACACAGACCTGTTTGTTTTTATTAGGGTGCTAAGTTGTTCTTTTAGTTTACCAAATTTTGTTTTCTTTTAGATTACTTGAAGTTTTGGATTACCTCAATCAAGACATTTGGAGGCAAAAAGGCACCACTGTTTCTTGTTGCCACACACACAGAAACAAAATCTACAGATGTAAGTATTCAGGCTAATAGAAATGTGAATCACAAAAAATAACTGAAACCAACATATTTTGAGAATGCACAATTACAGTTTTACTTCAGAAATACAAAAGAACCAAAATTTAATTGACAGTAAATTATATCACATATTATATACTGTAAATGTATTATATTTAGAAGTACGATATATGGCGGAAATTGGATTTTGAACAAGTTAGCGTGGATTTGATTTGGCGCATATCATAATGCTTTTCTTATATGTGCGAGGCATATAGCGTTGTTCTTGAATTAGGGGAGATTGCTTTCCGCCAAAATGCTTAAAAGAATACACAGCCAAATGTAATACGTTTACAGTAATTTGTATTGCATCCTAAGTTTCATATAAATTGTAATTCAACAATGGATACCAGATCTACAGTGCAGTTGAAGTCAGTTTGAACTGTGCACCACATTTAATACTGAAATACCTGTTACTGCACATTTTCAAACATCGACACATAATTAAGTGGTTTATTTTACAAATATGAATTTATATACTCAACAAAAAAAGAAACGCATATTCAGAATAATATGAAAATCTAAGTTTTCAGTTTAAACCTTATTTTATTTAAGCGAGTTTAGAGTGTGTTCTGATAAAAATCAAACATGTCCTCCTGTGTTGCAAATTGAAAAGTCAAGTTGATGTCATTTTCATCGCCCCCAAATTCAAGGGGCATAACAATATGTACTATGCGACGTCTCAATGCACGTGGGTTTCCAATGGTATCGTGGAGGAATAACATCTCTTTTCAGTCTCTTGCGAACAATTTATGCACTTTTATGCTGATTTTTTCATCCAGCAATTGTAGCAGCAGTTTTTACAGCAAGTTCTGAATAGCATGAGGTGCTGAAGGGGGGGGGGGTGTCTGACGGTCCTGTCTGGTTGTGGTTACCTGTGGATAGCCAGATAATGGTCTTCAGACGTTAGTTTAACGGTTGCAAAGCCCATTGATTTATTCCAAATACAATTGCAACTTCCTGTTGCGTAGCTCTGTTTAGTATCATCGTTAGCCTGGTTGTGTTCATCTTTGTTTCGGCGTCGCATTGCAGCATCAACACTGCAATCAAATCTTACATATGGGTTTAATAGGTGTGTTAATAGTTTCTCTAAATCCAAAATATCAACGAAAATAGATATCCAATTTAGAAGAAATCATGAAAAACACTACTTTCATAAACATGTTTAATCAAGGGAGATAATTCACCACTTGGGTTTTAAAACCCCATGTTGTCCTTTAAATAGGTCACAGGTATCCAATGATATAAAAAATAGTTGTTCCATGTACATTTTAAAAATTTCTTTGACGAGTAAAACAATATGCGTTTCTTTTTTATACGCCCGTCTTAAGACGGGACGTATTATGTTATAGGCTTCATGTCCGTCCGTCCGTCCGTCTGTCTGTCCATTCCTGTCCGGCTCATAACTTCAATACTACTAGGCCTAGGATTATCAAACTTTGTCAACTGATACTTCTTGGGTAGACAGTGTGTCGCGCGCAAAAAGTAGGTCGCTGTGACCTTTAATTAAGATGCTATGGCCAAATATGGAAAAATCCTGTCCGGCTCATAACTTGTAAACTATTAGACCTAGAACTATCAAACTTGGGAAATGTATACATCTTGGGTAGAAGGTGTGTCGCGACCTATTTCAAGGTCACTGTGACCTTTAATTTAAGTGAATTTTTTTAAAAAACTAAGTTTTTTAAATTTTGAATTTCATAATCCTAAAAAATGTAAAAATATAGTTGTATTCTTATTAAAAAAGTGTTAAATCAAGAAAATACTTATTTTTTCAGCATATACTTGACAGCAATCTATAACAAATATAATGTATGTTAGAGAAATCCCATGTCTTCCATGAGTGTAATTATCAAGCACTGGTCAAGAGTTTTGATAACAGAAAGTTGCATGTCAAATTAGAGAGAAATTAATGAGTTTAGTGTGAGGAGCAAACTGGAGAGCATCGATGCTATCTATATCCCTTTGGGAATTGGGCAGATGGGTAAGCCTGGTGGATTAAAAATAGCTCTTGTTGGCTTGCCTAATTTAAATGAATTTGATGAAAAGTAATTAACACTAATTTGATTTTGCATAATAAACTGATATGATATTATATAATATGATTAATCTAAAAAACTAATTTCATAGGATTGGAGTCAGCATGTCCATTTTCCATAGAAATCCCATATTAAAATTTTTTTGACATTAAATGTTAAAAAAAAAAATCATTGAGTATTTTATATATTTTTAAAAATATTTTATGGTAGAGAGTTCAGATTCATTCATTTAAAGTAATGAGTAGACAAGCATCCAGTCAAAGATTAATTAATGAGTTCAATTTAGGAAGGCTAGCCAGCATCTTCTTATCTGTTACCCTTTGGGAATTAGACAGAAGAACTGCTGGTCAGTTGAAATAGCATATGTCATTTGATGGCCAGCATTTTTTTTTCAAAATTAATTTGGTATAGATTAAGTTGTTAAGACTACCGGTAATTGGATATTGTTTAATATGATGGGCATTTGACAAGGTCTAATACAACCAGTATAGAAATCTATCAATGATGCTATGATTAATGCCTACACCACAGGGGATGGATAAACAAATATTTTAAGGAATTAGAAAAAATTATGGAAATTTTAGAATCAAGGTTGACATGATTTTC